CAAACAATATTTCTCTCTCTGCACCTCGTTCCTAAAATCTCTCTAAAATCACTACAATTTCTCCATTAATCCTTGTTTCGAGCCACGATCAACAAATAAAGTTATAATCCCATCGACAAACTTATCATATTCAGAGTTTGGACAAACAAGAATCAAACCAAAAGATATGGATATTCTTATAGTAAATTGTGGCTTGTTTTCTCCAACTCCTTTACTATCTGCCATGGTTGTGAATATTTACAAACTCAGGAGTAATATAAAGAGCTTCAATCCTTCCGGCATGGGGTGTAGTGCTGGTTTGATGTCAATTGATTTGGCTTGGGATCTTCTTCAAGTTCATCCAAATGCAAATGCACTTGTTGTCAACACTGATATTATCACTCTCAATTATTATCATGGTTCTAAAAGAGCCATGCTTCTTCAAAATTCTTTGTTTCACGTAGACGTTGTTGGTTATTTATTTATTTATTTTTGAACAAAAGGGGTGATAAAAATCAGTTCCAATTATTATCAAGGTTGGCTTCATTGCGACTGTTTATAACCAGATCAATCTTAGTTGTGATGCTATGTGACCAAGTTAACACAGACTTGGTCACAATTAATCACAATCAACGTAGATTCATCACAAATAAGTTTATTTATTGTATATTGACACCACCATACATATAGTCACAGTCGATCACAATTAATCTAGAATTCGTTACAATCAATCATATTTAATACAAACTTAATCACAAAGGGTTAGCACAAATAAATTCGCACACACAACAGACCGACACCATAAGCACAGTCTATCATGTCATCTGGTCTATCCCAACAACTATGATCTGTTTTAGGACTGCCCATAGTCAAAAATTGAAATTCTGAAACTAAGTTTCTTTGACCTTCTTTTTTTCCTAACTCCAACGGGCCTACAAAAACTCCACCTCACCATATCACCGCTTACGGCGCCTCGAATCCTCCTACAACTGCCAACCAGACCCTAATTCCTGCTCCTAGAGTTGAATTGTTAATACTAGATTGGGATGGTTCCCTACTATTTCGAAAATTCCATCATAAAATGGTGTGGTTTGTGCTAAGGAGGATGATAATTGGGTTGGGGGGGGTGGTATTTGCGACCAAGGAAGGAGGTCAAGGCAGCTATGGCCAGGAGAGATAATAGTGTAGTCGGGAATAGTGAGGGGAAATTAGTGAAAAATGGTGAGAGAGACGTAGTGAGAGAATTGATTTTCATATTAATAATGTTGTATTAATTATGTTAATAATTTTGTATTCTCACCTGATTTGTGAAAGTAAAACTTGATCATCTTAGTTTTGAATAGTATAATTTATATGTATGGTTTTGGTAATTTTCACAATCTTCATTTACAACCCATAATTCCAACCATAAGAATAGGACCTTATTAAACAAAGTTAGATGTATTCTTTTAAGTTCTAGTTTGCCTAAACTGTTTTATAGCGAAGCTGTTAAAACTGTTGCATATATTGTTAATATAAGTCCTACTAGAGTTTTAAATTTTGCTTTACTTGAATCTATTTGGTCTAATAACCTCGTGAATTATTCCCACTTGAAAATATTTGGTTATGCTGTATATGCTCATCAAAATATAGATAAATTAGAACATAAATCATTTAAATGTGTTTTCTTGGGTTATGATGAAAATGTTAAAGACTATAGATTATGGGTAAAATGTGTAAAGGGCTATAGAGTTATTATTAAATGTTATCTTTAATGAATCCTTAATGCCATGTTTAGAAGGAAAATAAAATGTAGTAACTGATAAGGATGTTCAAATTGAGGTGGAGTCTTCTCACATTTGGCAAGATATTCTTTACCTACTATAGATGAAACTAGTCCTAGAGAAAATATCTCTGTACCAAAAATTGAAAATGATCGAGAAGTTGATTAGACCACCCAATTTGATCCTACTTCTCTTATCCTAGATGAGTATTAACTCACAAGAGATAGGGAGAGAAGGCAGATCAAACCTTCTACCAGATTTAACAACGATGATTTTGTTTCCTTATTTGACGGCATGAAAATGAACTAAATTCCTATGAGGATGCCATTAGTGGAAAGAAAGTAAAAATTGGATAGTTGTCATGGAAGATGAAATGTCTTCACTTCATAAAAACAAAACTTAGGTTCTTGTCAACAAATCTAAAGTACAGAAATTGATTGACTGTAAGTGGATCTACAAACTAAAACAAGGAAAAGGCAATAGTAAAAATGTTAAATATAAAGCTAGACTTGTGCAAAATGTTTTACTTAAAAGGAAGGTGTTGATTACAATGAAATTTTTCTCCTGTAGTCAAATATACTACTATTAGATGTATTTTTCTCTTATTGTTCAATGTATATGGGAACTTGATCAATTAGGTGTTAAAACTACTTTCTTGTACGATGAGTTAGACGAAATAATTTATATGCGACAACTTGTAACTTGTTGGTTTTGAAAAAAGAGATCCTGGAAATACTGTTTGTCTATTAAAGAGATCATTATATGGTTTAGAATAAGCATCTAGGCAGTGATACAAAATGTTTAATACCTTTTTTTGAAACTTGGTTTCAAAAGAAGTCAGCACGACACTTGCTTATACTATAAAAGTGATGGATGTAAAAATTCTCTGTATTTAGTTCTTTATGTGAATAATATGCTGCTTGCTAGTTGTGATAAATTTGAGATTGATAATATTGAGCCCCTGTTTGACTCATATTTTAATCCGAGTCAAAGTCAAACAATCAATATTAACTAAATCTTTCATAAGTCACTTAACTTTTCAACCACACATTTAAAAACTTCTACCAGAATATACTAAAAATTTAATTTTAATCCCCACCAAATATCCTATAAATTGAAATTGAAATCTGAGTTTGATATGAAAGAGCTTGGTTGTGCTAAAAAAATGTTAAGCATGCAGATTTGAATAAATAAAGGGAGGGACTTGCTATTCTTGAATCTACATGATTATGTGGTTAAAATTTTGAAAAAAATGCATGATTGTAAACTTGTAACCTTACCTCTTGCTAATCATTTTAAGCTATCTTCTGAATATTGTCCTAAATTTGAAGATGAATATACTAGAATGTCTAAAATTCCTTATGCAAATGTTATTGGTTCTTTCATGTATTAATGATTTGTACAAGACATGATCTTGCAAATAGTATTAGCATTCTAAGCAGATTTATGAGTAACTATTGGGAAAAACACTGGAATGCCTTAAAATGGTTATTAAGATATCTTAAAGGCACACATAACCTAGGTCTAATGTTTAAATCAAGTAAAGATAGTGAAACTTTCAAGGGTTATACATATTTTGATTTTGTTGGAGATAGAATAACGAGAGATCAATTTCATCCTATTTTTATACCTTATGTGGAATTATAGTTAGCTTGGAATCACAATTTTAGAAAATTGTTGCTCTATCCTCAACAGGAACAGAATAAATTGCTGCTACTGATTCTGCTCCTGATGCCATAAAAAAGGGAATGTGGTTAAGTGGTTTATTATCTAAACTTGAATTTTTTGATAATCATGCTATATCGTTATCTAATAATCAAAGTGCAATTCATCATAGCAAAAATCTTATGTTTCATGATAGAACAAAGCATATTGATATTAAATACCATTTTATAAGAGACATGATTTCTAAAGGGATTTTCAAAATTGGTAAAGTTGCCATAAATTTTAAGCTATCTGATATGGGTACAAAAGTGATCCTTTAAATAAATTTGTTAAATGTTCAAAACTTTCATCTGTTGATTTTGTGTAATGCATGTACAGGTATTTAGAGCAAACGAAAAGTGAAATTGTGGTAATGCTCTTGGTTGCACTTATATTGCCAAATTCTGATAGCAATGTGGAGAATGTTCGATTCAGGCCTAGTCCAAATTATAGTGCTTCTAGAATTTGTACTAAAAGCGTGTTTCTAAGCAATGCAACTTTATTAGTAAAGCATTTTTAAGTGGATCAAGTCATGTGGCTAGATCTTGGTCATTGATTGCTGGATTTTGGACGGTTCTATATTTGATGTGCCATTTCACTTGGCACTTGGTGTGGTTTTCATTTAGTTTGAGACCGAGTCTTGGTTTTGAAGACAAAAACCTCTCGTCTATTAAGGTTTCTTCTTCTATGTCTTTCATCTCTCAAATTTCTAATTTGAAGCTTACGATCTGTAATACTTAGCCTTTGGTTTGTGATATTCTGAGTGAATATTTGTAAGAATGCGAAGATTCTGTTGAGTCACTATTTTCAGATGGTTTGAGAAAATTCTTGGTGATTCTTCTTTGTAGATCGATCGTTGTGTTTTGAGAGATAAGTGTTGTGGTTTTATTTTTGTGTATTGGTTAAACATTTGTAACCTTTCGTAGCCATTTTGGGCTTATTTAGCGCAACCAAGTATAATCCAAGTTATTGGATGTTGAATGAGGAATGTAGCTGTTGGAAGTGGTCATCGAACCTCCTAGGTTTAGGCCGAAAGAATTCGCTTGTGTTGAATCTTTAATTTCTGCACTTTCATTTTTTGTAAGATCATTTATTATTGCTTCTCAACACAAATATATCGTGTGAACCCAGTCCTACAAATATTTATCCCAGTTAACGAGTAAGCCAGTCGTTTATGCACCTCAAAGACAGCATTGTAACAGGAGACGCTGCATTTGGCATACTGACAAAATTAGAAAAGACAAGGCAGCACGCCGTGATGCAACAAGAAGCCTTTTGTTTTTTAGGTCAGCTACATGAATATTTTACCGTCCTTACAAATAAAACTAGATTCTTAATGTATAATGTCAGTTTGGTGAGCGCCCAGCATTAATGCCAATGTTATTCATCGCCAACCAGATGCACACAAAACATAGCTAACCACAACTGAGATAGCTAAACAGGATAATACACAACAGGCCGCTGGTGATTGGTTCAAGCAGTTGACAATTCTGTTCATGAACATGAACTTAGTCGTTCCTGATAGTAATAGGATTCTGAGATTTTGTTGAGATATTGAGAAAAAAAAGGATACGGGAATGAATATACGGAAACAAGTCATTTAGTACTCAAAATAATCATCAGAAACACCACACTTCTGTAAATTAGACTGTCTATAAGAAGACTAATTAAAATCATTCCCCGAATATGTTCTTTTGGTAATCAATTTTGAGGCTCAACAACATCCAATTGCGTCAACGGCTGTACATCTGGTTGTTCTTGTTGCTGCAGGGATTGTGGACGATCACCTTGCCATGTCCAAACAATGTCTTTCAGTGATGGTCTTATGTCCTGCTTCATCATCTTCTGATATTCTAGTGTGTCACCATTGGATTTCTTCATCTCGACTAAATGGAAACTTGGAGTAACCTCAAAGATTTCTGCATCAATAGACAACATACCCTTTCGGCCTGCCTTTGATCCTTCAAATTTTAATAATCCTCCGTCCTTCTTCAATACTTTCAACTTCAGACTCTTTGCTACTTGCTCTAACTTGGAGATGATAGTCTTGGAAGGTTGCTTAGATGTAAAGCGAACTTCATTCTTTTGGTCATTTTCCTCGAACAAGCCTGACAGGTCAAAACCGGCTGAAAGGGAGATGATATCAAATGCATTCAGGTTTGTAGGCTTTGCAAATTCTGATTTCACGCCTGTAGTGTTCGTGTTCTCGTCAATACTAAACATTGCATCAGCATCAACTACTGCCTCTTTTATATCCATGTCTCGAATCATAGAATCAGCACTACTTTTCGTGACTTTGGGTTGGAAACCTTTACGGAACCAAGAATTTTCCATGATTTTGGATATGGAAATCCTGGTTTTCGGGTTTGGATCCAGTATTTTTGAAATCAGCCTGCGAACATCAGGAGGGATCCAGTTAGGAAATTTGAACTCTGCCTTGCCAATTTTTTTATACATCTCCATCAAATTTGAATCATGGAATGGGAGATATCCAGCCAATAGAACAAACAAGATAACCCCACATGACCATATATCAGCTTTGGCACCATCATAGCCTCTCCTGTTAATCACTTCAGGAGCAACATAGGCAGGTGTCCCACATGTTGTGTGAAGTAAACCGTCCTGGCGCTTGGATTCCGCAAGAGCGCTCAATCCAAAATCCGAGACTTTTAGGTTTCCATTTTCATCCAAAAGCAGGTTCTCAGGTTTAAGATCCCTGTGATAAACACCTCTGCTATGGCAGAAATCAACTGCACTTATCAGCTGTTGAAAATATTTCCTTACAACATCTTCCTTCAATTTCCCTTTGACAATCTTGTTAAAGAGTTCACCACCTTTTATGTATTCCATGACAAAATATATCCTTTTTTTGGTGGCCATGACTTCATAAAGTTGAACAATATTTGGGTGCCTAACAAGTCTCATTACCGAGATTTCTCGTTTAATTTGATCAATCATCCCGACCTTCAAGATCTTCTCCTTATCAATTATCTTAATGGCAAAACTCATTCCAGTCTTAAGATTTCTTGCATGGTAAACCTTGGCAAAGGTGCCTTGTCCAAGCAATTTTCCCAACTCATATCTTTGCATTAACACACTTCCTTTGTTTTCCATCTTCAGATCTACCATAATAGGAGAAAGCTATTTCTCTATTGCCCCCGCAAACAGTTGGAGGAATTGATACTCAGGAATGCAGTAACTCAACCATCTTCACAGAGGTCGTGATATGAAACAGTTTGTCCCATATTATAGTTACCTATGCTAGGAATTTGATTGAACAAGTGGAGAGATTTGTATGTTATCTGTCCTATCTCATCAAAGGTAAAGGAGGGAAGCTCGTATGGAGCTTCAATCTCATCAACCTCAGAGAAAGACTGTCTGTCCATCTTTCGGCATTCCCTGAAATTTGTTTCGAATGAGAGAATACTGAAGAAGATCGGCAAGTGTAAAAGTTTTTTTCCTTCCAAACAACTACCGAGTTAAGATAAACGTGTGAATTCCAATTCTTCACTGCCGAATGGATTAGATGTCCACCTGAAGATGTTAGAGATGCATGACTCAAATTATCAGTAACGAAAACAAATAATTCTTTACAAATTGTTGATAATCAGGGATATGTTCAGATCATAGCAAAATATATGTCCACGGCGTATAAATTCAATGCACAAAGAGAGTATGACAGTTAGAAGAATAACCATAGAAACAATAAAATTTAATAGAACAAAAACCTTATCACCATTGATCTGTAATATCTCTTTGTAAGCTTAAAAAAAAAGGCCCATGAGCAAATTATGGGAGCAAGATATAATCGTACTGATACTGGAGACTAAAATAAAGAACATCACATGCTTAAAATCTATTGAATTAATAGTTTTGAACTTATTAATAATCGGGAAAAAAAAAATCAAACATAAATGGAATCAAAAGAAACTGAGAAACTTATTTTGATGACACAATGGAACATAGAAGAGTAGAACTGAACAGAAAACGAGAACTTTCTAGTTTGTCGTTCTATAAAACAAAATTTTTTAATTCTTATACTCATTTTTAACCACATATTTGCGTAATAAAATATTTTACATGCAAATTTAAAATTTTTTCATACTTTTTAACCATACATTTTTTAAAAAATCACCGTCCAAAACTCCATTTTTTCAAAATAATAGCCATCAAAAGTTAATGATTATCTGAAATTGAGACCGAAAATCAGGGAATCATTCTGGAAACAATTCCATCTTGATCTAAAAACTTTTCTGTCATGGACACCGAGAAAACCAAATCACGTCAATCATTTAATAACTCCTGAAAATTGAAAAAATCATACATCTTAACCAAAAAAATGGTAACATTCATTTCAGAGATTGGAAAATCATAGAATTCTTATTGTCGTAGACCTCCCAGAATCGAAAAACATAAATTTTGCTTCAAATGCAAAAACAGATAAGGAAAAAACCACTAGAATCATATAAATTTCACAAACAAAAACAAAAACAAAAGAATTCCCACGAATATAGTTACACATGATTCGAGATTACGCTACATAGGAACAAAATTTTTAAAAAACGAAGCTGAATCTCCATACCTTTAATCGATCTGCTTTTGAAAATTAGATTTGAATTTATGTATAGTAGATGAATAGATCTGTGTGAGCGTAAGTACGTATGCGAAGAGCCTTAGGTGTTATATACTACCATTTCATGTAGACGGCTAATCATTATTTTGTTGAAGTGAAATTACAGAGAGGGTCACTGATTTGTTAGACTAATAACACCTCAATTGTCATCTGTATATGGGATGAATTAATACATATATAATTAATTATATCACTGTCAAATAAATATAATTAATTAAGAAACAGAACAAATTGTTAAATTTCCTTCCATACTTCCATTAATTCGATTTTCATCTATAGTTGTACAAACGATCCTGATAAGTACAAACGTGTAATAATCTTACTTTCTTTTATTTTTTAATATTTATTCAGATCGTGTTTGGTACTGATTATGAGAATCAATTTTTTAACCGTTAAAGAGAAAAGTGCGTCTCGCCTGTGAGTAAAGTAGTAAAAAATGATTGCTGATTATGTTAACCAATGATAAAAAAATTAATTTTTTTGCATGAAAAACCAGAACTAAACGGGGCTTAGTAACTTAGCTTCTGTTCAATTCAAAAAAGAAAAAAAAAAAGGTTGAACCCCAACCTTGAGGGCTTCCACCGCCCCATCCCTAGAGCTTTGTGAGAGAGGAAAATCTCGGGATGTGCCCTAATAGACCAGGAAACAAGAGTTGTCTCTACACTGCGCCTACAAAGAGTTCAATTTCATATCTCAGGAATCGAACCTCCACACTGCGACTGTCAGCAAGGCGTGAGATAACTTCACTCCTATCTTTTGCACCACTAGATTATGCCTCGAGGGGCTTTTGTTCAATTCAATAAAGGTAGGCAATCTAAAGAACAATTTAAAATTCGCTAATCGCAATTAGTGCATGTTGATTTTGTGGCTAATGAATTGCTTGGTTGTCAAGCATCGTTACAAGAATATTCTAAAATGGATACTCAAATAAATAATTTTCAATTTCAACTTTGGCCGACTATGTCAACTTGGTAATTTATATAAATATTTTAGGTCAACTATTGATTTTTTAACTTGAGTTTGGTAAGTGTTAATTACTTATAGAATATAAACATCAAAAATTCGAATTTTTATAGGTTTGTCTTAATAGCAAACAATTAAGACGTGATAAAAATTACATAAGTGACTAATAACTTTATTTGTACTTATAATCAACAAATTATTAGAAATTAAGTATGAATAGAGCAATAGTCCGTCGACACACAATTTTGATAAAGGTTTGTGCACAGTAAAGTACTCACGATCATATATAATAATATAATTTCTTTTCCTTTAATATTGTTTCGTATTCTATAGATCACGTGACCAAATACATATTTAGATTTAAATTTTTTTTTGGTTTATGAAATAAATATTTATTTGTCATTTCAAAATTCATAGTTGATATCTATCTATTTATTTATTTATTTATTATTTTTTGTGGAAGGCTTTAATTTGGGCCAGTCAGGTGGGTGTTGGTCCCATTCGAAAGCAACTTCAACTTTAATATCCAATAGGGACTACACACGTAATGTAAGACAAATAGTTTGTGGGGGTCCAGTTCCATCTAACGACCGGCGTCAACTGAGTTTCTAAATCATAATCCGACGAGTCGTTTGGTGATTGGTTGATTTGTACAATAATTGCATTCACTAGTTTCTCTATGGTCCCGTTTATGATTCTTGTGATTCTCGATGTCTCTCGAGCTTTATTTTTATTATTTATTTCTAAATTCCAGAAAATAATTTTATTTTATTTATTATTATTTTTTTTTAGTATGAAGGGTATCTCTACAACCTTTTACAATTCAAGAGTCAAGTAAGTAGATGAATAAAATAAGAGATGTTATAATGGGTGTGGGTGAGAGAAATTGTTCGGTATTGATTTAAATAATATTTTAATCTATGTTAAGATCAAAAAATTAATCTTAATCACATATTTTATGGATCTAAAAACTTTTCAATCACTAATTTGTTTAATTGATCAAAATTATAATATATTTCAATATTAGACTTATCTCTTTGTAAAAATGTCCGAAAAATAAATGAGTACACAATGAGATTTTGTTATTCACGAGGTAACTCACTTTTGTATTGATAAAAGTCTTGCAAATCCTTTTAAAGTACGAAATGAATATCGGACCCTTCATACGGATTCTCGATTTTGGCGATTTCACTTTGAGACTGGTTCACGAAATAATTCCATAACTTTAGAAAAATACTGCATTTTATACTCATCTACATTTTAAATTAAGTTATTTATCATAAAAAACCAATAGATCAAACCTTACTTTAATAGATGCAAGATCCAAAACATCATATTATTAGCTATCGAAAAGATTGAAAGATATTTATCATATGCATAGGGATAATGATGATCTTCTAACTTTCATCGTCACTCTTGTAAATTTTATCTCAATGGAAAAGTTGTAACACAGTGACAATGCACTTTTGTATTTTTGTCTTTAAATTTTATGCCAATAACATATTTAAAAACATAAAATTTTACTGAAATTGTACGAGTCTATCTTCTTGGAGATCAAATCTAGATTTGCCCTATTGTTTAAGACTGATCCCATCTTTAGATGCAAAAGATCCTATAAAATACAAATAAGATAGATTTTTCTCTATACAATTCGTATGATGTTTGGCTTTATTCTCAGTGACAGAAATTATAATGTGACAAATATACATTTGCATCGATTAAAAATATTAAATTTAGTACTAAATAATGCTTGTTTGAAATAGAGAGTTTGCAATAACATACAATGAACTTGAATGGATATATATTAAATACATTATAAAAATTGAAGATATTTGTCAATGTAGTAATTGACAAGGGAAAGAGTAACTTTCATTTGTTTATGTTTTAGGATTTCGCCAAACAAAATGCTTTTATTTTATTTCAACATATTTATTTTATTTTTGCATTTTGACTATGCATCTGGGCTTGTTTTCTTGTGCAATTTTTTGTGCCTTTTCGTCTGCTGTCCAGGCGTATCTGGAAGTATCAAATGGTCTATATAGCCTAGATATATTTTTTAAAAATTATTTTTCTAGTTATTCAGTACTCATTCTTCTATTTAATATTGGATGGCTTTGTCAAGAGCCTAGCGTGGGACCCTCTCAAAGAATTGGACGATCGAAATAGAAAATCCCAAAATGTCCACTTGTTAGTCACAACTTTTTTCAAACTTGAGGTTTAGGAAATCCATGATGTTGTGCTATGTTGCATGTGGCTCTAATGACGACCAGATCAATATATTATTTGTTGTTCAAAAAAGAAAAAGAAAAAGGGGGGTTAACCATGCGATCGCATGGATTTTAATCCATGCGGTCACATAAGGCCCTCCCGAGAATGGGAGGACCGTGGAGGCCATATCCATGTGACCGCATGGCCTAAGCCATAGCCCATGTGGTCGCATGGTTACAAAAAACTAACTGTTTTTGACATTTTTTATTTGAAATTGGTGGCTTTTCATCCTTATTTTGCATCATTTAGTGAAAAAAACTTGCCAAGACCTATAAATGGATGATTCAAGTGTAAGAAAAATATATTGAGTTCAATTAAAATTTATCCCCAAATACACTACCAATATTGAGAAAATTTATCACATAATCCTTCAATTTTCACTTGTTCATTGTGAAAAAACACATTTGCTTTATAGTGTTCTTCTTGTCAAGGTTTGTTTAATCCTATAAATTATTTGCCGAAAATCCTTGAAAAACATTGGAAATGAAGCAAATAACATTTAAGGACAGCGAAATTAATCTTATATTCAAGCCTTTATTGATATACTCTTATAATTTTCTTCTCCATTGCTATTATTTTTTCAACAATCTCAAACATTATTTGTTACTATTATTGCAATGAATACGGAATTTACAATTGCTACTATCAAACTGATGAATCAAGACTTGGTACACTTGGACAGATTCGATGGTGCAAATTTCACAAGATGACAAGACAGACTTAAATTCCTATTAACGGCCTTGAAGATCTTCTATGTGCTTGATCCAAAATTGGAGCCCATTCCTGATGCAACTGACAAGGATATCGAAGAAATTCGTGTAGAAAGGAAGAAACGAGAAGAGGACGAATTGATATGTTGTGGCCATATCCTAAATGCATTATCCAATCCCCTCTATGATCTCTACACCAACACTACATCGGCAAAAGAAATCTGGTACCCGTTAGAAAGCAAATACAAAGTCTAGAAGGAAGGTACCAAAAAGTTCTTAATATCTAAGTATTTTGATTTCAAATTTTTGGATAATATACTATTATTGCTTCAAGTACATGAGTTACAAATAATTGTAGAGAAACTGAAAGCGGTGAAAATCGAACTTCCCGAAACTTTCCAAGTGGGAGCAATTATTGCCAAACTTTCTGGTTCTTAGAAAGGATATATAAAGAAGATTCTTCACAATTTCGAAGACTTTTCTTTGGAAGATATGCAAAAATATCTTCGTATTGAGGAAGAATCAAGGGCAAGAGATAAGATTGAAAATTCTTATGAAGGCCCTTCAAAGGCTAATGCCGTGGACAACGTGAACAACTCCAACAAATTTAAAAAGAAAGGAAAATTTCTTGGTCCTAGAAAGGATCAAGGAAAGTTCCAAAACAAAGCCAAAGGACCTTGCTATATTTGTGAAAAATCGGGACACTATGCCAAAGATTGTAGACATAGGAAACAACAAAAGAAGAAAGGACAAGTAAACTTCGTTGATGAGATTATCGCCACGGTGAGCGAAATCAATGCAAACCAAGGCAAAGTTCCGGGCTGGTGGTACGATACATGCGCTACAATTCATGTATGTTATGAAAGTCTCTCTTCAAAATCTATCATGACATTGAAGACAATCAAGAGATACAATGGGAAATGAAGGAAGATCAAAAGTGATTGGCAAAGGAAATGTGGAATTCATTTTCCCTTCGGGAAAGAAGATCACTTTGACAAATGTCTTGCATGTACCGAAAATGAATAGAAACTTAGGAAGTGGTATACTCTTGGGAAAACCTAGAATTAAATCTATTTTTGAATCTAGAAAGCTTGTATTAACCCATAATGGGCACTTTGTTGGAAAGGGCTATTCCACCGAAAGAATGGTCAAACTATGTATTTTTTAGGATAACTCAAATAAAGTTAAATCTTTTGCGTATG